TCTCTCTCTCTCTCTTTCTTTCTCTCTCTCTCCAACTAATAAAAAGTTGCATTATTTTAATGCTATTTATTTATTAAGCTGATATTTTAAGTTTTAAGAATTATTAAAATACCTGTTCAATAAAAACTGGGTCCAGAGGGGGTGGAGGGGTTTGGGGGCATATGAGAGATATTTTTGTTTCAATTTAAACCACTTATCCATATAAATAAAAAGTCTATAACCAACTTTAAAAATATATGTTAAGTTTATTTGCAAAGTTTGATAAACTTGTGCTTAAGATTTTAAACAAGTAACAAAAAGTAATTTTTTATACATTTTTACATACAGTAGTTGTGTTGAGAGTATCACTAAACAGTTAAATATTACTTTTACTATTAATTAAATTATTTTAATATAACATGGAATTGTAATTTTTATTAATCTGGAAATTTGTTTTTGCAATTGATTACAAATTAATGATAGTTTTAATATACTTTAAAATTTATTTATTTTAGTATTAATTTCATTTTAAACCAGTATTTTTTACACCAATTCTCAAACGTTTAATTTTTTGTTATTTAAAAATAAAATATTTATTTTAAATGAGTATACAAATTGTTAGATAATTACTATTTATTAGCAATTAATGCTCATTAATTGTTGTTATAACTCTTACAAGTTGGATAAACATTTGTAACATTTTAGATAAACTTTTAACTTTATTTAATAATTTATGTTTAAAAACCATAAGTTTTCTAATCATTGATTTCCAATTTGTAAACTTAATTATAAAATATTTGTCAAAAAGACTTTCATTTAATAATAATAAATTTGTTTTTAATTTAATTCATAATTAAAATATAAATATATTCTGACTTTACTATCAAAACTAATCTCTCGTTTTGAATTCACGTCTATTTAAAACATTTTTAAAATAATAATTATGTCGTGAATTGTCCGACACTTTCACGTTATTCTTCAACGTCTGTGTCTTCGCGGGTGGCGTTGGTTTGGGCTCTTCGGGCGCTTTGTGGACAACCGTACGATTGCTGGCCAAACCCATGTAAGCGTTGGCACCGGGCAGCTCATAGATTTCGATCGTGGTAAACAGGGGGTCCTCCTGTTGGTCCTGTTTGTGCCACCGCTCCGGCGAATACATGATCTCCTCCTCCAACTGCTTCTTCGCCAACCATTTATAACGATTCGCTTCGAGTGCTAAACAAACAAATCATTATTTGTGTGTTTTTTCAAAAGACAAATATATAAAAGTCTAACAAAAAGGATATTTTCAAAAAAATTAAAATCAATAATAAATCAATAGTAAAGTTATATTTTCTCTGTTTTCTCAGTACATAATCTCATGTCTGCAGTATTTTCTCGCATCAAATCGTCTTTTATTATTGTCTTCTTTAATGGGATTTTCTTTATCTCTTTGTTTGAGTCGACGACGGCTTCAGTAGTTGTCATATCCATGTCATCCACTTTTGACGACTGTATCGATTGGGTTGTCGTCACCGGCGATGGTTGTAATGGTTGAGTGTCTGACACCCGGTTTGCGATATGCTTTCTGGTGTCCATTCCCTGGTATTCTTCCGCATTGTCTCCGCGATGACGACTGGACTCGCGGTGATTGAAGTTTCCGTTGAGGTCTGGCGTCATATCGGATGTCATCATATCTTCTTTGAGACCCGTGTGGGCGAAGTCCGACTTCTGGCCAATCAGTTTTACGCTCTCGATGTCGTGTATGAGCCATGAGATGGGCCTTCAATTTCAGGGATCAATTAAATGGATTAAATATACAGCAGATATGGTATTCACTTTGCGTCAAATGTCTGCCACACATAAAAAAGCCAAAAACTAAATTACATTATTGACTGAAAACGCAACTAATTTTGCCAAATGTTTCCCAAAACACACATAAAATGCACAGAATATTCTCTCGTCAAACATTTATATGAGTTAATTGAATACAAACACTAATCTAATATGCAGTACATGTGTAATGAGAATTGAATCTCTGGTAAAAGTATTAAATATTTGTTTAATCGATAAATAAATTGAATGAAAAACAGCAAAACAAATGTCCCTTTCATAGCAATTGAACCATACAATTAAATCTCGAAAACAAAACTAAACATATAAAATAAAATAATTTAAAAATTTATGCAAACAAACCGTCATATTCTGCACACGGAATACTGTAATACAGAATATTCTGAATATATTTCTGTATATTTTTAAAGTACAAGAACTTTTATCAAAGAAACATAAAATCAATACTAATATTATGAGAAAAAGCAATTTTATCATAATTTTGATCATTTGATACAACGAAAGAGATGTTTCTGCGGATACCCTATAAATGTCATATACGCAGAGAGAAAGAAAGAGAGAGAGAAAGACTGGCGAAGAGAAAGA